TCAACACAACGATATTGCAGAAAGACAGATAAAAATAGAGATCAATGAAAAAGGACAGAGAACCCAGAAATAGAAGTACACAAATATGCCCAGCTCATTTTCAACGAAGGTACAAAAGCAATTCAGTGGAAGAATGATGGCCTTTTCAACAAATGGTACTAGAACTAGAAGGCAGAAAAATAAACTTTCAGCTAAACTTCATACTTTATACAAAAATTAACTCAAAATAAATCATGGACTTACATGTAAAAAGTAAAACTATACAAATGTTAAGAAAAAATAGGAAAATCTTAGGGATCTTGGACTAAGCAAAGAATTCTTAGACTTAATACCAAAATTATGATTCATGAAAGGAAAAATCAATAAACTAGACTTCATTGAAATTAAAGGCCCTGTTAAAAGGATGAAGAAAGTTACAGACTGAGAAAATATTTGCAAACTACATATTTGATAAAGAACTAGTATCTAGAATGTATAGAGAACCCTTGAAACACAATTAAAAAAAAAAACTATAAATGGGCATGATGGCTCACACCTATAATCTCAGCTACTTGAGAGGCTGAGGCAGGATTACTTGAGGCCAGGAATTTGAGATAAGCCTGTGCAACATACTGAGATCCCATTTCAAAAACAAAACAGCACAACACAACACATACACCAAAAAACAAAAAAGCAAACCAAAAAACCCCCAAAACACCCTAATTAGAAAATGGGTAAAAAGTATAAAGAGATATTTCACAGAGGAAGATATACTGACAGCAAAAAAGCAGGTAAAAAGATGCTCAACATCATTAACCATTAGGGAAATGCAACTTAAAACCACAATAAGGTGTCAGTACACACCTCTTAGAAGGGGTAAATAAAAAATAGTGACCACGCCTGTAATCCTAGCACTCTAGAAGGCCAAGAAGGGTGGATTGTTTGAGCTTAGGAGTTGAGACCAGCCTGAGCAAGAGTGAGACCCCTGTCTCTACTAAAAATAGGAAAATTAGCTAGGCATGGTGGTGCATGCCTGTAGTCCCTGCTACTTGTAGAAGCTGAAGCAAGAGGATCACTTGAGCCCAAGAGTGTGATGTTGCTGTGAGCTATGTCATGACACTCTACCCAGGGCGACAGAGTAAGACTTTGTATCCAAAAAAAAAAAAATAGGGACCATATCAAATGCTGGCAAGAATGTAGAAAAACTGGATCTCTTATACGTTGCTGGTAGAAATGTAAAATGGTATGTCCACTTTGCAAAAATTTTTAACTACCATACAATCCAGCAATTGCACTTTTAGGCTTTTATTCCAGATACATAAAACCCTAAGTGCATACAAAAACATGTACATTCATGTTCAGAGAAGATTCATTCATAATGGGTAACTGAAAACAGCCCAGACATCTTCCAACAGGTAAACAGTTCAATGGTGTACTGTGGTAAATCCATACCATGGAATACTACTCAACAATAAAAAGGCAGGAATTGTCGGCTCGGTGCCAATAGCACAGCGGTTACCGGGCCAGTCACATACACCAAAGCTGGCAGGTTCAAACCTGGCCCAGGCCAGTTATACAACAATGACAACTGCAACAAAAAATAGCTGGGCATTATGGCAGGCGCCTGTAGTCCCAGCTACTTGGGAGGCTTAGGCAGAAGAATCACTTGGGCCCAAGAGGTTTAGGTTGCTGTGAGCTGTGATGCCACAACTCTCTTCTGAGGGTGACACAGTGAGACTCTGTC